TACAATAAATCAGCTTGCTATTCTGCTTAAAGTGCTGTTTTGATCCCAAGCCAAGTTTCAATGTCCAGTTCCTACCGTCTTAACGTCTTAACTAATTGGTCCTCCCCTTTGCCTGACCTCTTCTAGAATAGGATTCTCAAGTGAATTATAATGTCAGACTGTGAGTGAAAAAAAACCTGCTGAGAATTCATGAACATTGTGGCAGCTTGTTACCTTTTGGAGGTCTGCTGACTTTATTAGATTTTCCGTGCTCTTTCGTGTACTCCTGTCATGCTTCGGAGTATACCTTCTCATGTTTAATGAATGCAGAGACATTACACACCATTCCACAAGTACAATTTGATCAGTACAGTTTTATTTTTGAAGATGCTTCACATTGTTCCTGACTTTCTTCCATGATTGTCCAGCTTTCACAGCCACTCATAGATTCGAATTGTTGACTTCACGTGGTACTGATAGCCTTTCAGAACTTTCATTTTAGTAGCCTCTGAGTCTATTTTTCAGGATTTGACTTGATTTTATTGAAACTATTTTTAGCCATAGCATTTCTCCATTTCATATCTGTGGAATATTCTAGGCATCTGGTGTTATTATGATATCCTAGATATTTTAACTTTTGAAGCTGTTTGATCTTTTTACTTTATGGGCCAGTACATGAACAATATTAATATTGTGCTCAGGATTCGATGCTTTGCCTCGCTCATCACGTCAAATGATATGGTTGGGGGATGGGTTCTGGTCAGTATTTATGTTTTCTTGAATATGTCGGCAATCTCTGTGTCCTCTTTGGTTGATACCAAAGTGTTCCTAGGAAAGGTATCTTGCACTTACCTGCTCTTGTTATATCTGTGTACATCGCTGAGTTTCTACCTGAGATATGGGAGGGGGGGAGGGGGGTTGGCTTTGATTCATGGACTTCATAATGAACATCTTTAGTCCACTGCATCTTGATGCGCAGTAATGTTTATTTGCATTCTAGTTTGATTGCTCGCAGTCATCGCTTGGTCTTACTATAACTGTAACAACATTATATTGCAACTCTTATCAGTATGATATGTTTGTCTTTCTTTTTATTATATTTTATAGGCACTGGCATTCTCTGAAAATTTGAAAAATACAGTGTTTGAACAAATTCTGTATTTTTGGTTTTCAATTTTCTTATCATAAGTAGGCCTACAGCATTTGAGCTCATGCCTGTACTTTTGATAAGATAACCTGCATGTTCTGTAATGATAAAGGCTGTATCCTTTACAATCCCAAAAACAGTGTACAAAATCAGCCATTTTTAAATGATAAATTAACATAACCAGGATAGAAAAACGCATCTTGATTTGGTCCAATGTGGATTCAAAAAGTGTATTTTGACCCAGATGCACATGTACTATACTTTTAAAAATGACTGCAGCACTGACACTGCCACCGAGACCCAATTATTATTAGTTTTAGAGCAGTAGGCTAAGCGGTCTGTAGTTTGTTTTTGCACTGACTGGTAGTATAGTGGTAGTGTAGTGCCAAGTGAAGTTGGAGCTCACTGTTCGGAATACATGTTCATGTTTCTGGTTCCCAACTAGCCCAGTAATTCAGTTACAATTATTAGTACACATATTTCAGTATTTCAACATCAACATTCAGATGATTTGTGGCTTAAACTGAATTTTTTTTTTTTTAAATATCAAAGCCACGCTTGGGTCTTGAGAATGAAATTTAAGTATAAAATGGTGATGTTTCATCTTTTTCAATTCTTTTCTTCCAACTTGCAATAGGGAGAGTTGGGTCTTGAACTTGAGTGCAAGTCTTTGCCACTGTTTGGGCCTTATCATCACTAGTGTGTGGGTTCTTGGGTCTTGGTTCTTAGTTCTCTGTAACTTTTGATGTAACTGCAGCTTCTTTATACATTTCTCCATTTCCCCCCAGATTTTCACACTGTTGATTTGCCAACTCTGTCTGATCTACAGCCATGGATTATGTGACAGGATGGATGCTTGATGCATTCAACAAGGTAAGGATTTATATGCTTTGTAGGATAAAAATGTCATGTCAATCTCGATTTTTGTATCCCTAAGTGTTTGCATCTTTTCATTTTTATCTTCCTTCTTGAAAAAGAGAATGCAGTGCTGTACTTGTTCTCCATGACTAACACCCAAAGAAGTTTTTTTTCACTTTTCATCCATTGACTCTGCTGATGAAGGAAAGATAAAACAGTGTGTTCTTTTCTTCACACAGGCTACATGAGAGGTTTTGTTTGGGTACCTATTTTGATAATTCTTTCATTCATCCCAGAAATCCTAATAAAATAATATATATATAACATTTATATAGCGCATTTCCCCCCCCCCCCCCCCCAAATAAAAAATAGCTCTATGCGCTTAAAAGGGACTTGTTTTTCAGTAATTGTCGAAAATTGATATTTGTGGCTCAAACTTTTCATGGTTAAGAAATGTGATTAGGGTGCTACCAGCATCTCACTGGCACAACGGTTCTGACCAGAGATGAGAAGTTAGCTTCCGTAAATTGTAGAGTAAACCCTGATTACAGCAACAGTCTCGCCCTCCATCAGAGGATGCTATCTCAGCTAAAGTGAAACAAGAAAGTGTTTAGATACCAGTGTACAGTGTATAGAGAAGCTCGGAGAGATGTGATTCTAATATACAGAGCACTTTGTAGAAAGTTTCATCAAATCTCTATTTGATTTTTTTTTTTATGGCAGCCAGGTTTTCCTTTTTTATGGATTGACAAAAAGGCACAATTTGAATATATATACTCTCTTATTTAATTCCATCAGGATAAGCCAGAATTTCCTTCATGGGGGGAAAGAGCTACTATTTTGACACAACAAACAAATGATTCGACTTGTGATTTTGAAAAATTCATTTGTTTGATTACGAAAGTCTGTCTAATTTAATGGAATATTCAATTGTTTTGTGCCAAAAGGGTAGCTTTTGCTCCATCCATGAAGGAAAATCTGGCTGACCTAGACAGAATCAAATTGGCAGTGTGCAAGGAGTATCGTCCTCCAAAATCAAAATTGTTCGATTTTGTATGTCACGATTTTATATGGATGATGAAAACAATCAATCAGAAGGCTACTAAGTTATTACGTGGTCTGATCTTTTGTTTGCGCACACGGAATGCAAAGTGTAGAAGTCAAGTTAATGTAGTGTGCCCTGGCCAGTGTCATCCCAGTTGCATCAAACCGTATCAAATAGGTTAAAAAGTAATATGTTCTCTTTCTCAAACTAAAATGGGGGGGGGGGGGGGGTATGTTAAGTGGACCATAAGATTTGATACTTTTGCATTGTGACTCAGCATGAACATTAACATTAAATTTGATTATTTTTTTTCCTCTCATTTTTTTTTTCATTTTAGAGTAAAACAGCAGCAAGAGGATTATTGTCTGGCTTGACGACATCTCAAAGATTGTCTGCTAGGATTTCTGAATTGGAGGCTGAGTTGGAAGCTGCTAAAACTAACCAGGTATGTGATACCAATGTGAACTTAATGTGGGTATGAAATATCAAGAATGCAAGAAATGTCAATTTGTCAATGTGAAAGAGAGAAAGTAGATTTGTTAACAATGGTAGACTTATTTAACTGTGGCTAGTTGTGCAGGAAAGAAAATGTAAACTTTGTCAAGGTGGATGCTTTTTTCAAGTATTTGGTAGTCTAATAACTGGGATTTAGCATATCACTTGTGTTTGAATGGCTTATCATTTTCCCCCCCCATTGTGTTCACAGGGGAATGCGGAGGTCAGGTCCAGTTCTTCAGGTTTGGGCTCTCTCGGGGTGTGTCGTCAACATGTTTGTGCTGCCTGCTTGAAGCCAAGTTATGCTTGTGTGCAACTAGAGGGGAGCAGCGTGGATCCAGAAGACTACATCGGTCTCTTCCCAGAATCCTCATCACCTTGTAGTGCAAGGTATGTTTGGCCTTTGTTTGCATAGTGAAGCAGTATGCATGACATCGCTTTGCCAAGGTGGCAGACAGAGCTACTTCCTACTCTTCAGATCTTGATATGTTTGGAGTCAAGGAAGGTGTAAGGGCGTGTTATACTATTTGGGTGGGTTGGGGGGGGGGGTGTCAATGTGTCGGTTTAATGCCCTTTCAACACTGTATGGTTTTTAAGAGACTGGATTTCTAAGTTTAACACTCATCTTCTATAAGACTGAGCCAAGACACCCCAAATCAAGTTCAGAATGTCTTGTTTGGGGATTTGACCAAGGCCACCAGTTCCATAGTCCAGAATGATATCAACTTGACTTAGCCAGTGGTGCACATTTGCTGTTCGAGATCAGTACTGGTTATGCAGGGTTGCCACCTGTCCAGAATTTTCAGGGACTGTCCATGATTCGACTATTGGTAATTTTAGAACCTTGTCTCTTACGTTGTACCAAAACCAGTCCCACTTGATGGAATTTTGCTCTTTCTAACATAATATGACGTTATAACGTTGGGTATCCCTTTTATTGGGCTTTGGAACAGTAAGCAATTCTGGTTTGTAACAACTTTCTAGTTGCTTTCTGTCATTTGGATTTGTGACAACATATTTCCCCAATGACTACTACAGGAACAAAAGGAAATGATGAAAGTGGTATACAGTAGTCTCTGCCACAGATCCCTGTGCTTGGGAGCCAGGAAAGTGAGGGATCGTTGGCCAATGTGGTACTTCAGAGAAGTATTTTAGTGTTGACTTTTGTGTGGTTATAATTTTGCTTTCTTGAAACAGCGGGATCGTAAGTGAACTGAGATTGTAAGTGGTGGATCTTAGCCAAAGACAATTGTGTACTGACGTCTTTTCTTTTCTCCATTTCTTGTTCAGGTTGTTGAGCAGCTCCAAGTCGAACTCTGGTACTCATTCCCACGGGCCTGCGGTGTCCGAGGTTTCGTCATTTGTCAGCGAGAAGGCAAGAGGCAAAGAGTATGCCCCTCCTGATATGCTCGTATCCAGCACGGCCGCACCAGCCCCGCCTCCCCCTCCACCTCCCCCTCCCCCTCCTCCCCCACCCCCACCCCCACCCTATTTTATGCCTGTGATTCGAAGGTTGAAGACAGATGTTCAGACAAAGGATCAGGTCATGAAGAAAATGAGGGTGAGTGAAAGTCATTTTTGTTTTTTGGTCATGTAACGTAGAATGGTTATTGTGGCTTGTGGCCTCCAATGTTTTTTCTTCAAGTGACGGATCTACAACAGATATTGGACCTGTGTCTGTGGTGTAATGGTTTGGTGCTTAGCTGTTGCATGCAGGAGACCTGAGATCGATTCCCAAGTGGGGAGAACATTTTTATAAAGTATCTTTGTCTTTCTGCTGAGATGTATCCCTCTCAGGCTGGGTTGGGCCCGACTGGCAAGGTCAAAAGCCCACCTCTTAAATAATCTGAATTGTGTCGATGGGGGTATAAAAGCAACTACATTAAAAAAAAAAAAGCCAGCACCGGATTTTCTGCAGGATGTTCTTGAAAAAACATATTGCCTTTGTTTATTCACATCACCTGTTTGTAAGTTTTGATAGATCTTTTCTTCTGTTTTGGTATAGTTTTTGGTTTTTGGTTTGTTTGTTTATTGTTTTTGTTTTTTTGGGGGGGGGGGGTTCTTTTGCACACTTCAGTGGTCATTGATTTCTAACGCTCAAAGATTTTAAAGTTTTTCTGAATCTGAGTCATTGGATACTGTTAAAAAGATAAAATCACTAAACTGTATTATTTTTATCCTGTTCTTTTCCTGTCACCTTTTCATCTATTTTTCCAAGTCTGTGTCTAGCATGGCAGTTGGCTCAAACGAAAATAAACAGGTCTGCTGCACACCTCCCGTGCCATGGACGATACGCCACATGTCTGTCGGGTCCTCATCAATTGATCATTTTTCATTTTTCTGTCGCAGGCGGTCGGCGGGACTCTGTTGCCTGAGATCACTGTTGAGGCTCTGAGGAGCGTGAAGCTCAAGAGGACAGGCGGCCCCGACCTGAGGTCAAGAATCAATGAGGACGGAAACCTCTCTGCCAAGGTTGGTAGACATGTGAGATTATCATTAGATCAAATGGGAACTTTTGTGCCTTATTGCGTTGGATTTAAGTTCATGTGGAAGTTTTTCTTTTGATATACAGTGGAGTCCACTTAAAAGGAGAAGTCTGTTATAAAGAAACTATTCTAAAACCCCGTTTTTTTTTCTCCTCTTTACCTTTGTAAATAAAATACTGCTATAGCGCTATCAAACATGCGAGTCAGTTATAGCGGAATATTGCTGCTGCTGTGCTCAGTGCATAGGCCATTGCAAAACCTTGTCAGTTGAGAAACTTGTTCGTGATCTTGAGAAACAAAGAATAGGAGAGCCAATGAAGGCCGGAGCGACTGAGTAGGGAGGCATGCGCAGACAAGCAGAACGCGTTGCGTGATAGGCCAGCGTAAGCCTAGTTTAGTTATCAAGGCCTACCATGCCTCTCACTTCTCCGATGCGGAGATGGAGAGGTCACAGCAATGTGATGGATGGAGGGAATGTGTGACGTGCGCAAGCAGACAGAAAGCCCCAAAGGGTGGGGTGGGGTGGGGGGAACACAGCGGGCGAGTTAGCCCAGAGCCCTTTCTTTCTGATCGCCAATGCCGAGCTGTCAGTCCACATCGCTAGACCTAGAGCTAGAAAAAGAAACCTGATTAAAGTTTTGATCAAGTAAGACCTAGAGGTCATGTTGAAACAAAATGTGAGGCAGCGTGGTGGAATCAGGCTCTTGTCAATTTTAAGGCATGTAGAGTTATTGGTATCATCTTAAAGCTTGTTTACTTGTCTTTATTTGGATGAAAAAGATATCCATTTATCTTGAATACAAGTCGAGATATTTGTGAAAAAAGGAGGTGGGGGTCACCTGTTTTCAGAGGTAAAATTAATGAGAAAATGGCCGCCAAAGATTAGTCATTTACTTAGCTTAAGAGTCCGTGGTAACAGAAAATTTACATTTTTTGTGCCTTTAATCAACGTTTTTCAGAAAAATTCACACAGAAATGAGTTCTTTAATGGGCATGAAAGATGTTGAGCCAAAAAACAAAAATTCAATAAAAAAACCACAAACCTGCGGAAAAATGCAAGTTTCTTCACTTTGATTATTTTGACGAGAGCCTGATTCCACCACGCTGCCTCACAAATCATCATTTGAGAGATAGCAAAAGGAAATAAACAGAACACCAATCTCATAGATTAGGCCTACTTTACAGTTTCCCTTGAATTTATTACTGGATCCCTTATAGCGAGAATCCTGCTATAACGGACATTTTGCTCCTGTCCCCTCCCTCTCGTTATAACAGGATTCCACTGTGAAACTCAATATTTTTTAGGATTCCGAGGAAAGTTCATAGGTCTGATCATGAAGGGGTCGGCAGGTCTGCATAACGTAGACTTTCCACCACAGTTGGTGGATGGGGTTTTTGAAATAATCTTTATGAGAAGGTTTTACCGTATGAAAATTTCTTCTGCAGCTCATAAATCCCATCTGTTTTGTCTTCAGCCGCTTGCGCCCAGCAATCAGCCTGTAGTCACTCTGGCAGCGCTACAGCGTGTGTCGCTGAGGAAAACATCGCACGTCGTCAAGAGTCACGGTGACTGCGTTGAAGATGACCTGAGTCGGAAGGAGAATGAGAACTCTGGGTAAGTTGTCAATCTCAAATGTTGTCTGCTGTAATGGCTCCAGTTTGCACAATAGCACTTTGTCTGGAGACTGATTTTTCTGAACAGTGTACAGACTTTTTTTCTTAACATTTTATATTTACACCTGAAGCTGCTCTAATAAAATGTTTTAAAAAATAACAAATTCAGTTTTATTGATCCTAGAAGGGCTATTTGGTTTACAATGGCAAACATGCATATTATACACATGGTATTCATAAATACATAAATTTTAAATACAGGCATACATTAATGCATGCTCAAATACTTACATAAATACTCAATATTACATCAATACAGAACAATTTCACAAACATGACATCGCTGGTCACCACTGTGCAGCGCCCTGAATTTTGAGCTAGGGTTGTCGTGTCTTCCTCAAGGACACACCCCAGTGACCACCCCTCTAAACTCAGTGTCACCGACACTTGCTTGACATTACTTGAGTCTGAACTCACTGCTGACTTAGCCCCTTTACTCTAATGAGCACCTATACAAGACAATCGCCTATACAAATGACCACTTCCTACTCTAAGATGTCCACCTGTCTGGGGCAACAACTTTTCTTTTCGGGCGCGTTAGGTTTCGCCGCCAATGACGCAACACGGGACTACCTGTCAAAGTCTTGAAATTGTTTCGCCGCAAATCGTATTCGAATACAAGTTACTTACACAGAAGATAGAAGATCAATTAATTTGTGAAAGCCTCTGAAACAAAATTTGTAAACGCTCCTAGGCCTACTGTGTCAATGAGAACTCGGGAGGGGTAAACTGTTATTATGACTCAATTTCTCCCTTTCTCCCTTCATTGTAAGTACTGGTCTCGTTCTTGGTCATTCCCACTCTTTCACGTGAAGAATGGCAGCCCAGTTTGAACAACTTTGGGGTTTTTCAACAACTTTATATCTGAGACATCACATTTTTATCTTCACTGTCATGACATTATATAAACCTATCCTGCTTAAAGTCCTACTTCCAAAACATATTCTTGTTCCCAAGAAAATTCATCGACCATCAGCAACTAACAAAGTTAAAACTGAACGCAGTAAATTGCAAACAGCCCTTAACAGGCCCTGTGTACAATGGCAAATCAACATCGAGAAATTCGTCAAGTATGTGAGCTTCAAGCTTTTAAAAAAAAACTGTGGGGTTTTACAGCGATTCTGTCCATAAGACACCACAACATACTAAATTAAATCTAGTTGTAATCGAATTCAATTTGCGGCGAAACGATCATTCATATTTTTCTCAGGTAAAATCTGTGACGTAATTGCGGCGAAACGTCAACCTCCCGTCTTTTCGACAGTGGGTGGCAGTCTAAGACAATTTATACTGCATTTCTTGAAAATATTTGTTTTTGCCAATGTATTCAGCCATTATGGAAACCCTGTGTAAGAACTTATAATAAATGTGTTGTTTTTTCTCTTTCTCAGTGACAGTACCATGGTCGACATCCGCAAAGTTCTCAAACGAACAACCCTACAAAGGTAACCGTCTTTGCCCTTGTCTTTCAAGAATGTTTACTTCTCATATAGATCAAGGATATGTACTTTATCTGTGCAGGGCTGTATTTGTCTGTTAATATTTTTAACCATATATACTCACACACAGACAAGGATGTGTGGTTAGCAGCTGAGTTGTTATAATGTTGAGCCATGGAGTGAATGACCCTTGTTTCTAATCCTCATTGCAGTGTTTTTCTGTTTGAGTAGTTGGGATTTTCTTTTTTTTTGGGGGGGGGGGGGGTTAAGACTGTCTATCCATTTAGCATGATCCTATATTGATGATGGACAAAGTGTTCTGAAGGTTCCGTTTCTGAATAATGTTTGGTGTTGAGAGGGACTTTGAACTTGAACCATGGGTGGTTCAACAGGTTGATAAGTGGTCTGGTGTGGTTTACTCCTTCTTTCCTATCAAATATCTGTCGTTGTCCTTATCTCCTTGCTTTCTTTTTTGTGTTTGTTACTCTCTTGTAACACCTCTTTTTTCAGCACTTATATTATCTTAAGGTGCTGTAAGTGTCGTAAAACTGCTAAAACTAAACTAGAACCTGAACCATAGTTACACACACATACCCACACAATCATAATCTTACTGCTCAGGTGGGAGATGTAGGTGGTAAGAGGGCGCCACGGGTAGGTATTTCTTTACTTTCCCTCTTATGATTCTCTCCATCTGTCTGTCTGGGGGTTTTCCCCACTGTAAATAGCCATTACTGTACAGATGTGCATCTCTTTACTTAAACTTACTGTATGTGGTTGGAGGATTCCAGTGTTTGGCCCTACTTCTGTTCTTTCTTTCTTATGTTTCTGTCTGTCTGACTTGCTTTTTTCCTGCTCAAAATGACAGTTATAGAGTCATTGTTCTTCTTTTTACTCTAATTACTCAACTGTCTGCCCCCTCAGGAGCCCTGGAGGTACTCCCATGACAAGCAAGAGGACCAGATGTTAGTCCGGACAGAGGTACAAGGGAACAAATGCTTCATTGTCATAGGTAGGTAACAACTGCTATTTGTGTAGTGACAATGCTTTGTTTGTCTCGCTCAGCTGTTCCAAGATGTTTTGTTTTTGTCTCTCTAACTTTGGAACCAAAGAAGTTAGATTAATACTATTTTCTCATTTAATCTGATATTCATAGTATTACTTGTATACAGTAGTCTCCGCCTAAGATCCCGGTGCTCGGGAGCAAAGAAATGCAGGATCTTAAGCGAACCGGGATCTTAACTGATGATCCCTAGGAAGAATCTATGGTGACCCATGTTAAGGCTCACAATCGGTAAACTGGTCTCCCTCCACCTTAAAATGAACTGACGTGACCGCTTGGTGGGTTTATGACATATGGCGATGAAAGAGAGGTTAACCTTGATGGCCTATCACAGTGCATAGTGCCATGAGGCGTGCCATTTTCACTTATTATCCTGAGTCTCAAGATCTACGCTTATTCAGTTGCCCCTCCCCTTTACCTGTCGAAAATTTATAGCTTTCCATCTCTGACCAAGTCCCCCCTCCCCCCCCCTCCCCAAACGCCTTTGTCGTTACACACCATTACGTCGTGAACACACCAATTAAAATTCAGTCTGTCTAGCAAATTCGGGTGTAGAGACAGCTGCTGCAATGAACGCCTACTGCAATGGTGTGATCTGACAATGACAATGACAATGACAATCTTTATTCATCTCGCAGGGAGAAATTTGTCTTGGTCGTTAACAATGGCAGTTGACGTTACAAAAGTTAGACCTAATTGATTTGGTTGTGATCAATTCTATAAGACCCTGATTCTATCTGTGATCTTTACAATATAAGATATGTGATGGCTACTTGAAGCAGTTTGAAGTAAAAGAGAGGTAAATATATTACTGATCTCTCTCTCTCTCTCTCTCTCTCTCTCTCTCTCTCTCTCTCTCTCTCTCTCTCTCTCTCTCTCTCTCTCTCTCTTTCTCTCTCTCTCTCTCTCTCTCTATCTATCTATCTCTTTCTCTTTCTTGCTCTCTCTTCCTTTTTGATTGCCTTATAGGCTATGAAAAGAGTTAAATCTCAAAAGTTCAAAGTTTCGGGTATTGCTGCTTGAATTCTATGCTCTTTCTCTTATTAGGCTACCCCCCCGGGACGGTGCTACTGACTGAAGTGTCTTTAGACCGTTCCCAAAGTGGGGACATCAACATGTTCTTATTTTCAGTTAAATTGTAAATAGGCTGATGCATCAATTTTATGCCCTTTAACTGTGCCTGAACTGCATACGGAGAACTGATGCCCCCCCCCCCCCTA